TTAATTATGAAAGATGATTTATACTTAACTAATATGCTAAAACAATGAGTATCAAACATGTTTTCACACTAATACAGTAAGCTACAGGTAAATCTGAAAAACATGCTTTTATCATCTTTTTAAGTTTAATTAATGTGCTGGCTAGATTTACTTATTGTAGTCATTATGTCAACAAGGTTTAGCTGAATTCATGTCATGGCCACGAATTAAGAACATCGTAACAATCAATAAAACTAGCAATCGGGAATTAATTATTATTTCTTAGCAGTTCTCACGTTGGCTACTTAAACTTTGCATAGTTTTAAGGTTAAAAATAAAACTTAATTGAAAATCGGTAAAGTTACTCACTCTGATTGCTGTCCATCTTTAGTGATCCGATTCGGTAGGTGGCGCTGTTACAAAAGCATAGGGTCCTAGAACTGCGGTCCTAGAACTGTGGTCCTGAAACTGCAGCCTCCGGTTGTGCAGGAACATACTATTGGAGAAGCCAGAGCTTCAGGCATCATTTCTCCACCCAACCAGTCCTGGATTTAAGTTATTTATAGAGGATAATCCCACACAACAACTTTAGGCATGTTTTCCATTTTAAAAATTCCATGTAGAAATCAATTTTTTTTTCTCCATATAGAAATGGGCATGCTATTGTAACTTTGGTTCCCTTTCATGGGAACTTCGAACTGCATCCTCTATGGGGGAAACGCCTAGTCGTGACCCGTGTCTGAAGCATACATTGAAAAAACACCAACTCGTTGGCCGGCGACAGCCATGACGTCACTACCGGTGCGACTATAGTATAAATAGGCGCCGGGAGCACACATCATTCTCTTCTTTGTCTTCATTGACTGTTCTGTTTGAAGCGTGTATTTCCAAGGAAAAAGTAAGAGCTATCTCTATTCATTATGGCGAGCACTAGCAGAGCATTTAGAAGGTGTGTTCATCCGTGGCATCGCTATTTGACACCCGATGACACACACAATCTATGCATTGTTTGTTTGGGCGAAGAACACGCACGCGATGTCCTCGAGGGGGCAATCTGCGTGCATTGCGAGCGTTTTCCAATGAGAAAGCTCTGTTCTCGTTTGTCACTCTATTCGAGTAAAGAGCTTGCTGAGGCACGGAGGAGAATGAGCACGTGGGGATCTCAGGTGGACCTGGCCGATGAGTTTAAAGAAGGGCTTTCCCTCTCGCGCTCATCGGCGGCGGGCGAGAAACAGCCACCAGAGGATGATGTCCTCTCTTTAACATCATCTGATCCAGGGGCCAGTGCTCTGCTGGGTTCAGCCCAGGAAGAGCAGGAAATGGAAGAGCGAAGAAGCTGAGGCTGAGACTTCTCAATCCTCCTGCCCTGCGAATGACGAGCTATTAAAGGTTATGGATCACGCCACGGCGAGGCTTGACTCTTTCAGAATGCCACGAGAACCCCTTAGAACGGTATTTTTTAAATCCATGTTATGGTAAGTGTTCACGTAAAGTCTTTGTACACTTTCTAAAATCCACATAGCTGGTAAGTGTGCACGTTATGCTTTGCCCACTTTCTTAAATCCACATAAGTGGTAAGTGTGCATGTTATCCTTTGCCCACTTTTCTAATATCCTGTACGGTAAGGGCTACGCGCAACAGCTTCGTGCTCTTTCTGAGTGGTTTAAAACCCCGGTTCCGCCGTTTCTTGCCATGCTGCGGACTCAAGCTTCAGACGAAGAAGTGAATGATGTGTGCTCCCGGCACCTATTTATACTATAGTCGCACCGGTAGTGACGTCATGGCTGTCGCCGGCCAACCAGTTGGTGTTTCTTCAATGTATGCTTCAGACACGGGTCACGACGACGAGGCTTTCCCCCCATAGCAACCCCTAGAGGACGCAGTGTCTCGTTCCCTACTCAGGGAATCATGGTAAAAATAAGTAACCTGAGACGGTTTTCAGCTGCTATTGAATCATAGCTACTGATGAATAAAAATCTGCTTCATGTTTTAGGACAAGAGAAGATATTTTGAAGTTCTTATCTATAAAAGAGGGGTTCAGATTAACATGTTAAAGGTTGTTGACTTTATTGTTGCTAGGGCAGAAAAGATCAAATAAAATAAAACTTTTATGTCTTTTAAAATATCTTCTACTTTTAAAGTATTTTAATTGTTAAACGTGAAACAATAGGGAAGTCGTAAGAAAAAATACACAAAAAGGGTTGATGCCAAAGTGCTCCACTCATTAGTTAGGCCTATATAAAAGTGGCCACAAAGATTGCAACAAAATTGAAAAGGTAATAAAAGATAACATCCACTAATCTGTATCGATATATAGAAAACAATGAATAACACCACTTTTGTTCGTAGAAAAAAAGTTTAATTAAACACCAGGGCCAAATTTACTACATTTTACGCTAAATCTCTCTTTTGGAGTTAAAAAACTACTGTCAGGATTTACCAAGGGGCAAAATTAGCGATTTACACAGTTATTTTTGCGGCTAAACTTTTTACATATGCATTTGTAGGAGTTTTCCTTAGATGCAAATGAGAGGAGATTAGTCTACTATTCAAATTAATCATGCATGTTACTAAGGTTTGCTGTGGTCAGTAGCCTGTAGTATAGTCAGTTGGTAGGCTACTTGCGTCATTATCTAATGCAGTGGTTCCCAACCCTGGTCCTGGAGGCACCCCAACACTGCACGTTTTGCATGTCTCCTTAATCAAACATACCTGATTCAGGTCATCAGCTCATTAGTAGAGACTCCAAGACCTGAAATTAGTGTGTCAGAGAACGGAGACATGCAAAATGTGCAGTGTTGGGGTGCCTCCAGGACCAGGGTTGGGAACCACTGATCTAATGCCAAAGAAAGAAGAACAAAAAAATCCTCGGCTCTGCTTGCTAATTTGTGCTGCTCTTGGTAGATTGCATTGATTATTATGGAAATGCGCTGACTGCGTCTGTGTTCTTTAATTTGCGCATTATCAGATTAGAACTTTCCTCTCCCATCGGAGCTTTTATGCGATTGCGTTCTCATGCTAAATTTGCCCTGTTTAGTAAATCTGGCCCAATTAGTAGAGCGTTGCAGAAGGAAGGAGATGTTCTTTAAATCATTTCACTACAATATTGAGACACAAAATGCCAAGCAAAACAAATGACTTTGATTATTTTTGTTCATCTTGTCACGCAGCACCAGCAGTGGAGTCTTCCAGGAGCGGCTTGTGAAGTTCTGGATCCTCCACCGACTGCAAAACCACAAACAATTATAAACACACAGAGCAGCTCTCTGAAACTCTCACGATCAGTGGATCTGACTGATTGATTGTTGTAATAGTGCTGCTGATTCAGTACCTTCGCATCTTCATCCTTCTTGCACAAAACTTTTCCAGTCAAAACACAGAAACTGATGGTCACACAGAGCTGAAGGACAGACAGCACTACCATCATGATATCTAGTTCTCCCAGCATCATCTAGGTGAGTAAAGATCAGAGTGTCAGCTTATTTAAATAAAAATGACTTAATTTTTATTTTTTTGGAGTTAACTATCAACATATTTGTTGTAGCTTGTCTTACACTGTCTAAACAGATTTTGGTCCTTTGTTTCTGTGTTGTGAAAGGCAAATCCTTGTAATCAATCTGCGAAAAATAAACGTAGGAGTTGCAGAATATAGTTGCAGTACTATTTTCCACGGCCAGGTCCATTGAATACAGCACAACAGCTGTGAGAGCCAGTGCAGTACTGACTACATTCAGAACCACTGTGATGACCAGCTGTAAAACACAAACAATATTTAAAACAAAACAAAACAGAGCCAGAAATATCATATTAACACAGATATAATGTAGGCATGGCTTTCATAGATACTCACCAGACAAGTACTGGGAAACATAGCCTGCAGAATGCACACTATTCCAACTACTAGGAACTAATAGACAAAAGAAAACAAAGAAACATATATGTGCTTTCAAAATTTATGAAAAAAATTGAATGAAATGTTAAATATAAGGTCAAAATGAGACCCAAGTCTTACCACACCACCAAGCCAAAATGGTCCATGGGAAAATGTATATATACTATAGGACCTAACCCATGAGAACAAATTCTCCGCCACAATATTGATGACACTAATAATAATTTGCACAATCTATGAAACAAGAGAAAAATATAGTGATGCCACCAGCTGTCAGGAATCTGAAAAACTTCAAGATATAAAATTAAGAATGTATACAGCTACTGCAATGACATTGTAAGTCCTGACAGCTTGAGATACCTTTTTTTTTGCAACGTTTCCAAAATATTTTATTTTAGTCGAACAACTGAAAATTTTCATTGTTGTGGCCATTTAAAGTGTTAATTTTATATGACATTGTTTGTATAAATTGAATTTGGTTGTATTAACATTTGCAACTAAAAACTGGAACTAAAAGTTGCAGCTTAGTTCTAATAATTTTTTAGGATCCAAATACATAAATTGAATGTCATGTTTTCGGTACATTTAAGTGTTTTAAAAACATTTTAATACATTGCACTGCATCATAACCTAATTGTGAAATATTATCTTTTTTAATGTTCAAATAAAATCTGTCTAAAATATTCTAAAATCAGAAGGCCTGAAAATATCAAAAAGGTATTTTGCAATTAATGTGTCTGACTCACTCCAAGAGCTGTGTGGATGTGCGTCAGCTTCCCTTTCATATACTGGGATACAGAACACATCGGACTGGAGCACAGAAAACCCAGAATCTGACACAGTACTGGCCATTTGCTCTTTGGGTTTGAGATGACAAAAAATTATATTTCAGTAATTTTGAATTCTCTAATAAAAGTATAGCGTTCACCCAAGAAACTTTGTGCTCACTCACAAAAGCACTGAAATAGTTTTTTTTCCTCTCAGATCATCTTTCCATCATAAAAAAAAGCCCATTTCCCCCATGGAATGGAAAAAAATAAAATAAAAAAGGTCACTTTTTATCTCACAATTCGACTTTTTTCTTGCATTTTTAAGCTTATATCTCACAATTTTGAGAAAAAAAAAAAGAATTGCGAGATATAAACTCTTTTCTGGCTTTCTCACAATTCCAAGTTTGTATCTCATAATTCTGACTTTTTTCTTATATTTCTTAATTTACATCTCCCCCCCACCATGAAATAAAGTCTATATCTCACAATTCTGACTTTTCTTCTCAGAATTGTGGGGGTTATATCTTGCATTAAGTAGTTAACAAAATAAAAAGGTAATTGTGACTTTTTAACTTACTTTTTAAATGTGAGATATGAGCTGAGAGAAAAAAAAATAAAAGAAAAGTTGTGATTACAATTTTTCCCATTTTACCAACACTGTGTCCGTTTAGGCAGGGGCTCTGTGGTTTCATAACATTTAGGTGTTTTAAAAAATGTTTTTAATACATTGTGTACTAACATAATCTAACTCTAACCAAATTTCTGCATCTTTCATGGAATGTTTTTTAAAGTTCTATCCAGAAATCTACCCAAAGTATCCTAAAATCACAAGACCTGAACATATCAAAAAGGCATTTTGCAATTAAAGGGGTCATATAATACGATTTAAATTTTTCCTTGCTCTTTGGAGTGTTACAAGCTCTTGATGCATAAAGAAGATCTGTAAAGTTGCAAAGACTAAAGTCTCAAATCCAAAGAGATATTCTTTATAAAAGTTAAGAGTTAACCACACCTACCTAAAACGGCTCGTTCTAACACGCCCCCCACATACCTACGTCACGATGTGGGAAGATTTGCATAACGCCGCCCAAATGTTCCCGCAAAGAAAGAAGGCGTAACTTTTATTCTCACTGTAGTTTTGTTGACGCTGCAGCCATGTCCTGAAGACACTGTGTGCTTCGTTACCCTAAATGAGAACTATTCACAAACATTCAAGAAGAAACAAATAGTTTAACCAGTATTTTGAGCAGTTTGAAAATCGAGTTTGGGTCAGATTGACCCCATCACACAATAGCGATGCAGCTAATGCCAAGAGATGCCAAAAAAAAACATTTGAAATTAAATGGCTTACAAAATACACACAGATGTTTTTCTGGATGGTTTATATAAGGTGCTAATAACCGCACACTTTGAATCATTTCATACAAGGCAAGGCAAGGCAAGTTTATTTATATAGCACATTTCATACACAATGGTAATTCAAAGTGCTTCACATAAAAGAAAAGAAAAAAAATAAAAATCACAACGATAAAACAAGGAAAATGATAAAAAATTGATTTAAGAGGATTAAAATGAATTTAAAACGGTTAAGAATAGAAAACGATTATACATAAAATATAGTTCGGACATCGCACAGTGCTCATTCAGTAAATGCACAGCTAAACAGATGAGTTTTGAGTCTGCATTTAAATGTGACTAATGTTTTAGCACATCTGATCTCTTCTGGAAGCTGATTCCAACTGCGGGCGGCATAATAACTAAAAGCAGACTCCCCTTGTTTTGTGTGAACCCTTGGTATTTCTAACTGACTCGATCCTAATGGTCTGAGTGGTCTGTTAGGTTTATAATCAGTGAACATATCTGCAGTGTATTTAGGTCCTAGGCCATTGAGTGATTTATAAACGAGTAAAAGTACTTTAAAATCAATCCTAAATGTAACTGGAAGCCAGTGTAAGGACCTGAGGACTGGTGTAATATGCTCAGATTTTCTGGTTCTAGTCAGAATCCTGGCAGCAGCGTTCTGGATGAGCTGCAGCTGTCTAATGGTCTTCTTGGGAAGGCCGGTGAGGAGACCATTACAATAGTCCACCCTGCTGGTGATAAAGGCATGAACAAGTTTCTCCAAGTCTTGACTGGAAACAAAACATCTAATTCTTGCAATGTTTTTGAGATGATAGTATGCTGATTTAGTTACTGCTTTGACATGACTACTGAAACTAAGGTCTGTCTCCAGAATCACACCAAGATTCCTGACTTGATTTGTAGTTGTTAGACCCCTAGAGTCAAGGTATGCATTCACCTTGAGAACTTCATCTTTGTTTCCAAATGCAATGCAGTGAGAGCTGCATGTGTAGTGAAGTCGATGACACTCCACGCCACCAGATGGCGCTGTGGAACAATCGGCGTTTGCAGCACTTTTCCCCGCTGCTTGTTGGTTCGATGATGTAATGAAGTAAAAGAAGAGTAAAGATGGCGGAGAATAGCGGCACGGATCCTGCCGTGGAGACTAACACTGAGGAAAATGCCGCCGCTAGCGCGACTATCATTAAGGTCACCGTCAAAACACCGAAGGATAAAGAAGAAATAGCCATCGCTGAGGACTCATCTGTCGCACAGGTGATTTTTTTGGCGGTTTCTTGTTGTTTGTATCACCCGGGCGTTCGTTACACCAGCGGCTAACCTTAACAGCTTTAGCCGGAGAGCTAACGATTGACGACGAACAGTCCAAAGCCGAAACTCGTCGCAGGGGATATTTAGAGTGACTTCCACTTATGCTATTGCTTAAATTAGGTTATTTGGAGTGTCTTCTTAAAAGTTTTTGGTCTTTCAAAACGCCTGTAAAGTAAGGCTTTCTGACTAGCCGCTGTCGTTAAAGAAACGGCCTGCTCAGGCAGAAGGTTCTAGTCTGTCATCTTTGGTCGCGCTCTTTCTGTTTTGCTTTGTATTGTTGACTTCAAGAATATAAGGATAAATTAAATAACATGTTAGGTAGCATTTCCTGTTCTGGTGATGCTAGCAGTGTTTATGCCAGTTCATTTGACCAGTTGCTGCTTAATGTTGATGTTTACGAGATCCGTTTTGATAAAAGAGACCGTGATGTTGCACAAAAGTGAGGTTTTATTGCTCTGATTTCACGTATAACATCATAACCGCATGTTTATGTCCTCATAACAGTTTAAAGAGGAAATCTCCAAAAGATTTAAGGCGAAGCAGGACCAGTTGGTTCTGATTTTTGCCGGTAAGATCCTGAAGGACGGAGACACGCTCGGCCAGCATGGCATTAAAGACGGACTCACGGTTCACCTGGTCATCAAAACCGCACAAAAGTAAGATGACCTGCTTTTAGGGTCAAAACACAACTGGTATTTTCATATGCGAACCCATAATGTGTTGTAGGACAATGCCTGCACATTATGGATGGCTCACATTTAGAGTGTTTTGTCCTTTTAGGAGTTCAAGTGGTAGTTCGCAGACATCTGCTTCTTCTGGCCCTGGACCATCACAGGGTAACACAGCTGAAACCGCTAACCCCAGCCCGGCCAGCAACCTGGGCACTCCCGAGAGCAGTGGGCCGTCCCCAACCCCGACACAGCCACCCAATATACTAGGTGAGTAATGTTTTTAAGTTTGTTTATGTTAGATGTCAACCCGTTGTCTCTTTTAAATGTAATTTCATAATATTGTTTGTGTTTTGTGTTGCAACCAGTGCTGTTATAGTTAACTACAATTATCAACAGGGTTTTTGTTAGTTGAATTAAAATAAAATACAAATATCAGACGAAAAGCTTAAACTTAAACCTAATAGAAAATAAATGTTGCCTTGGCAGCTAACTGAAATAAGTACTGACTACTGAAGAATTAAAATGACTGAAACTAAAACTAAAATATTTAAGTTTAATATTATAAAATAAATAATATAAAAAAGAAAAACTAATAAAAAATGACCTAATAAAATTGCGAGCCCTGTGACCTATTTCCTAATTTATTCAAACTTGTATATACACGCACACAATTTTTTTTAAAAATCTATATATATATCAATTTGTGTTTGTTTATATTGTGGATCAGCTCATTGTCTGTTTTTAATGTAATTTTACAATATTGTTGTGGTGACATTTTGCCATGTAGTATTTGTCCAGTTTATTGGCTGATTTTTTTTCTAAATTAGTTTCTTTTTTACAAATAATTGTTTGAAATACAAATACTGTGAATCCTAATGTAGTATTTTGTTCTTTGTAAGACAGTTCTGTAATTTTATTTTGCTTTTGCAACCTTCTACGCACACCGTGGCAATATAATCGCCATTGGCTAGTAAACTTTTTTTGTTTAGTCGCCAGACTGATATACTATTTTACACACACACATTTACTTAGCTGTCTAAATGGGGACATTACATAGACTTCTATTGTTTTTATATACAGATAGTTATACACTTTTTAACCTAAACCCACCCCTACCCCTCACAGAAAACTTTCTGCATTTAAATGTTTTAAAAAGTTTACTTTATTTTTATAACAGTTTTACAAACGATTTTGTCAGGTTTTGCTCACTTTTGGGTACAAATTTGTCCCCAAAATATGGTTAAGTACACACACACACACACACACACACACACATATGATTCCACCCAATCCGCTTATCTTTGTAAAATGGAACCGCTTCTTAAATAACTGAATGTGCACTCTTAACTTCAGCCAATCAAGCATTATAGTATGATATTATGATAATTAAGCACTGTTTAATGATAGAACTAGTGATTAGAACTCAAAATCGGTAACCATAAATGAATGCAAATTTGTCATTTTAACTGAACTTAGGACTGGTGGTGGTGGTGTTTAAGATATTGTTGGTCATAGGTAATAGTAATTATTATTAAAAGATACTACTACTACTATTATCTGCTGGGTTCATGAATATTGATCACGTTGTCAGCGTTCACTCGAACTGATTTGCTGAAATCAAAACAGGGACGGTAATAGATAAGCGCCAGCCAACGAGAGCTGTCCGCGCATTAGCTCCGTCCACTGCCGAGAAACCGGCATATCTTCTGCTTGTTCTTAAAAGCTGAATAATTCTAAATTAACTGTTATTTTGACAGGAAAATACAACAAAGAATATGGTTTACATGTAGCGCGTCAATTCAGCGTGGTATGCAAGACTCTCGCTCTCTCTCTTTGCATGTGTGAGAAACACAGAGCTATCAGTAAAGCGACGGCGAGTCATGTGCCTTCACACTAGTTTACGGTACGTCAAATACAGGTGCGCTGCGTGCTACATACTGCGCATCTATGGAGTACATGACATGATCCATTGAGCACATCCAAATAGTACAGATCGCTTGACGGAGAGCTAAACTCTCAAGCGCTCAGTCAGCGTGTTTATCGAGTGAAAATCTGTGTTGAACGCCTCTCACACACATACTGGCGTGTAAAATCTAAGAATTTATTAGCCAATGGCTAATGCTAGACATTTAGTCATCCAGAGTAAGATTTAGTCGCATATGCGAGTGATTTACTCGCAATGTAGAGGGTTGTTTGTTTCACGCTGGTTCTCCTTGTGTGTTTTCAGCTGGGTTTGGTGACCTCTCGGGCCTGGGTAACCTTGGGATGGGATCTGCCAACTTCATGGAGCTTCAGCAACAGATGCAGCGACAGCTCATGTCCAACCCTGAGATGCTGTCTCAGATCATGGAGAACCCGCTTGTGCAAAGCATGATGTCCAACCCTGACCTGATGAGGCAGATGATAGTGGCAAATCCACAGATGCAGCAACTAATGGAGCGCAACCCAGAGATTTCACACATGCTTAACAACCCAGAGCTCATGAGACAGGTATGTTTTTGGACTTGTACTACAGAATGGAAATGTACAAGCTAATTGAATTGTTTGCAATAATAAAAAGTGAGTGATATTTGTCTTCACAAAGTTCTTTATTCCAACTTGCACCAATAAAAGGTGTGCATTTGCTTCATTGCATTAAGGAACTGATTAGTTTTTAGTAACATTCTTTTTTTACTTAAGACGATGGAGTTGGCACGAAACCCAGCCATGATGCAGGAGATGATGCGTAACCAGGACCGGGCGCTTAATGTGCCTCCTGAGAACCCTCCGCCCTCAGGCCAGAGCCCGGCCCCGGCCCCCACCCCCGCTGCTGGGACAAACACCGCTCAGCAGCAGCTCATGCAACAGATGCTACAGATGTTTGCTGGAGGGAATGCATCGGTACTTACGTTTTTTTTGTTGTTTTTAATAACATTATTAGTATTTCCCATTAATTACCTATATTCTGCTGACCGGACAAAATCTAATCTGTCCCGTCACAGTTTCATTCAGTCATCTCTTTAGTCGTTTGCCTTTGTGAGGAATGTACATTGACCGTAAAGGCTTGTCATATGGGTAAGGTTGTAACAAAGGATCAATAAAACATTTCTCAGCTTAACAAGCAGTGGCGAACGTAGACACCATTTGTTTTGATCATATCTTTATGTTTTGACATAGTGCCTGGACCACACTTGTATTGTATACTGGATACATCATCAAGTTGATCTGGCAAAAAAAAAAAACGACGGGTTAGAGTGTGATATTGATGCTAGCTTCTCTCAGTGCTAACCAACAGCCTTCTACTGGAAATAACAGTTTTATTGTGAATTTAAAATGTTGAACTTTTTTTTTTTTTGCTGCACGTCCATAATCCACTCTTTATTCAACTTGAAATACATTACAGAAACCTATATTCATTGGGGTTTGCAGTTCCTTCTAACTTCTGATTTTGTCTTAAATCTAATGTTTTTTGATCTGTGCAATGTTGGGCTACATGACACCATGCGATTTACATTTTTTAATAGTTTATGAAGTATTGCATGATCATATTAACCGCAACATTTTTAATTCTTGTCTAATTAATTTGGAGGTCACACACACAAGTCATTTGTTCTTGTTGATACATTACGTAACCATTTAATTCCACAATCACAAAGCTTTAGACGTTATGATTGCTTTAGCTAGATACCTTAACTTTTGTAAATATAGTTTCATGTTAATGTACTTAAGCACACAATATGAAAATTGAAAACCAGAAATTTTTAAATTGTGATTTCCAGGATTGGAAACATGGTGAATCCTGTAGTGAAGTTTGAGTTTATTATGCTCAGCTGTAAAATTTGCTTTTTGTGGGTGCAATTACAATAAACAAATTTTTTTTTTTAAGATTCTTAAAAAAAAAAAAACTTGGTCAAAATTTGAAAATCGAGGTTCCAAAGGGTGAAGCCAGATGTAGAAGAACCATTTTAGGTTCCTTGAACCTTTCAGTGAGCAATAAAAAGAGACTTTTTAAATGTAAAGAATATATCAATAAATCTTTTTTAAAACATAACCTTTTGCATTGGAAAGGTTCTATGGATGTTAAAGGTTCTTCATGGAACCGTTGAAGCCAATAAAGGATATTTATATTCAAGAGTGCATATGTACAGTATATTATAAACAGGTTGTGAGTTATGAGGGTGAACCAGTCGAAGATTTAAGTTAAGATATCCCTCAGTGATAATACCCTAACAAAGGGCTTTCTTAACTTAAAGGTTGTTGCACAAACAAAAAGTCTCGAAACTATTTTTAGTTTTTGCATCCAGTTATAGACATTTGAACTTGGTTAAAAAATAAATTAACAGTTAAAGCGTGCTTAGAAGACGACATCGCTCGAGTACTGCCATTATTTGTGATTTTATAACGCATTTATAAATCTCCAGTATAAAAGGTGGAGAAAAAAAAGTTTTGTTTGCGCCTCAAAATTAAAATGACAACCTTTTAATTTCTTAACCAACAAAAAAAAATAACCCTTCTTTTGTTTTATTAATGACCCGAAAAACATCAATAAATCATCCATGGTACGTTCAGTTGTGATGTAGGCCACGTTTTGTAGTTCGCAAGCACTGCCATGACACTACATTTCCCATGAATCATCAGCGCGTCAGCTGATGCTCTTGTTGGGCTGCTGGAAGTTCTTGCTATAATTTAAACGTGTATTAATATTATTGCCGTTTTCCTTTAAATTATGTTGCGTCCTAAAGCATTAACACAAGTACTCAGTCAAGCAAACACCAGTGGCGTACAAAGCACGCTGTGAGTATATGAAATTCAGTCTTTGTTCATATCAGTAGCTTTAGCTAGCAGATAAATTGGTAAACAATATTGTACATTTATGTTATTAACATGTTATTATAACATGTTCTCTTAAATTAAAATTAAGTTATTTTGTTGCGTTTGGATTTTGTTGAGTAATGTCGTCTTGCATGTTAAATCATTATGATTATGATGTTAAATCATTATGATTATAATAAATCATTAGCAATGTCATATTCATACTTGAGCCATACTTTAAAATCACGAAATATCTTTGCATTAGATTACATAACAAATCAAATATGTCATTATTTTAGATAAATATAGCACACACACACACACCTTTCAAGCAAATCATGACTCAAAAATAAGTTTGTTTAATATTTACCTGCGTGAACTCAAGGAGAACTGACAAACATCCACTAAAAACCATCAAAACACCTGTTTACCTTTAATGAATTAGTGTTCATTGGGCAAAATGATTAAAGTTGGTTGATATTGGTTTTAGTTTTTTGCCCACTTTACAGGTCAAAGGCATATATATGAAGTGCTATTGTTGTGTTTTGTTGTATTTTAGGTTATTGAATAATGAAGGCTCTCTATTGGCGTATTCTGGATATGGAGACACTGATGCAAGAGTCACTGCAGCCATTGCCAGCAACATCTGGGCAGCTTACGACAAAAACGGACACCAGGCCTTTAATGAGGACAAACTGAAATTCATTCTGATGGATTGTATGGTAGGAATGAAATTGAACAGTTGGGTTACTTCTATAGTAAATGATTGTGAATGCTGATCTTTGACGTATGCAATAACATATGCATTATACAAGATATGCACAAATTCAGCACAGCAGATGCTATAGGCCGTGTCCGGGTTTACCAAACATATGTGCTTTTTTGGAATTGCACCATGCCAGAAATAATACTAACATGATGAACTATTGTATTGTTCTACAGTAGTTTTCTTTACAATGTGCTGCATATTACAGGAGGGCAGGGTGGCCATTACACGTGTTGCAAACTTGTTGCTTTGCATGTATGCCAAGGAGACAGTAGGCTTTGGGATGCTTAAAGCCAAGGTGAGATTTGGTGTGTATATATAATAACTCCTATTTACTAAGAAACAAATTCACATGGCATGTATTTTCATGAGCAATCAAAGTAACTGTGTTTATGTTCACAGGCTGAAGCTTTAGTGCAGTACCTTGAGGAACCACTAACACAAGTGGCAGCGTCGTAGGATGTACTCCTGTTTATTTGTGTACATTGAAACAGAAACTTCTGAAGATCTTGGCCTTTATAATATATTATCTATGGCTTTATTTATTTGCATACTCTATATGATTGCTATATCAAACTGTGTGGCTATTAGACCCAAAATAATGCTTTGCATAAATCATTAATAATTACATTTGAACTGCATTTTCCATTTCTTTGTTTATGTCTCAGTATTTTTGCAGTCAGTGTCAACAATATGAAATACATTTTGAATAATTTTTTGTTACATGTTGTTATTTTACCTTTAAAACAAGAAATTGTTGCTTTTTATTAACTACGTCTGGAGTAATATTCGTTGAACCAAAAATATACAAAATAAGGAATATTTTATACGCATTTCATTCAGCTGAAAATTGTGTGTGTCATAATGAAATATCACTTTGTCTTAGTTTGGGGTTTCTGCATTTCTTAAAAAGGTCTTAGAGTCACACTTTTACAAATTGTAAAAGCTGTAAAAGTTCTTAAATCAGAGCACTAAATCTTGAATTCATAAACTCTTGGCATTAAATCTGCAAAAATATCTTCCTTTTGTGTTTTTGTCTTGTTTTTCAGTACAAATATCTAAGCATCCTTAAAACGAGGTACATTTACTTGAGATGCAAAACGATATGAAGTCTCTTTTTCTGAGAAATTGAACAAAATTAATTGAGGTTATACTTAAAACAAGAACAAATATGTGTCAATGGGGTATGAAAACAGTTTTGAGCCAGCTATTTGTTCATTTTAATCATAAGCTCACTTCATTTTGGTCAGTTTCTCATAAAACAAGACTTCTTATATTGTCATTTTGCTTCTAAAGCAAGATTTAAGAATCTTTAAACATTTGTACTATAAAATAAGACAAAAATTCTGATGGAAGAATGTCACTTTTTTTTTGTAGCGTGATCAGAAGGTACAGTAGACGTTATTTCCATATTCTAGTGGTTGGGAGCAAAGGTATTCAAGCCATAAGCTTGAATAATTAATTCAAAAGTAATGGAGATCGATTGGAAGTTGTATCTTCAAGACATTTACATTTATAGACCATACTGATGTTTTGTGTTCCATTCAAATTATTCCTTATATTCTGTTTTCCTGGTCTTAAAAAGCATAACATCTACCTTCATAAAACCTGCAGAAACTCTCTATAATATTTGTGTTCAAGCTGTAATTAACCATGTAATCCATGACAAATGCCTTACTGATCTTAGGAGAAACCGCTTCAAAAGAACGATTGGTTGCATATGGTGTGTATGTCATCGTTTCATTGGCTGAACAGGTGCACTATTGCACCCAGTTTCATATGACTGCACCTGCTCTCGCCCTACCTGTTTGACCTGACTTGAGCGCACCTAAAGTCACGCCCACTTCCCCCAGGTAAGGCACATTTGATAGCGGAACTGCCAGGCTAAATAACAGGGCTAGTTCCTTGTACAAAAAACTGAACTGTCCACCATTAACGGTGGAGTTTCGTTTATATTCCTTACTGTTTTTCTGCTATTTCAGGTCAGCCACTGCATAGAGAGGGGGAACTTACATTCTTAGGTTTCCTTGGAATTGGTTGGGATTTTGACTCATGCAGCACTAGCACTAACATCGATTAGTGAAGGAAGATCTGCTTACAGGAGAGACAATATGGGGTCTGATGAGGCCTACAACTTTGTTTTCAAAGGTAAGATTTGACACTTCCATATAGTATACAAATCTCTGATGGAGCTTTGGACTCTTTTCGATGGTGTTTAGTTAGTTTTATGATCTGCAAGCATTCATTTCACTGTTTTTGCCGTTGTAGAGTAATATTGGTATTTTCTCATTTTCTCAAGAATAAATCAGTTATAGAGCAATACATAAAGCAATTGTGATAAGAACACACTGAGAAGTTACTCCGTATGGGAGGGGAAATAGTTGTACCTGTTAAAACCCATTGTGAAACAATGATCCGCTAGAGCATTCTTTAAATAACACCAAATCACAGACTACTTAAAGTGACCCGCATTTTTTGTTGGTTTCATTACGGTTAGATTGAAGCAGAAAGAGCAGGACGTTTTAAAGTAAACGATTTAAAACATGCAAGATCACGATCATTTAAAGGGCCATGTTTATCACCTGTGCTGGTGGTTTAATCTGAAATTACATTCAAATATCTAACACTTTAATTGCAAACAGATATTTGTGCATTAATTAAAGGAATAGTTCACCAAAAAAAAATTTGAAAATGAAAATGTTCAGGCCATCCAAGATGAAGATGAGTTTGTTTCTTTATGGGAACAGATTTGGATAAATGTAGCATTGCATCACTTGCTCACCAATGGATCCTCTTCAGTGAATAGGTGCCGTCAGAATGAGAGTCCAAACAGCTGATAAAAACCTCACAATAATCCACAAGCAAAGCAAACGACTCCAGTCCATCAATTAATGTCTTGTGAAGTGAAAAGTTGCATGTTTGTAACTCATCACTATAACTCATCATGTTTTAACTTCAAACAGTTGCTTCTGGCTAAAATATGAGTCCATAATATTGTTTAATATATAAGCAATATAAAATAATAATAACTTGACCCTCTAACATGTGCTGCGTTACACTACCCGGGACTTGTCACATCACTTATATTGTTGCTCTTTTGTTGGTTTGAATGCTGTTCGCTTTGGATAAAAGCGTCTGCTAAATTTTTAAATGTAAATGTAAAAGACCTTGATGGATTTGTTTCTTATAAACAATCCACTTTTCACTTCACAAGATGGCAACTGCAGAGGATCCATTGGTGAGAAAGTGATGTGATGCTAAATTTCTGTTGTACCTGTTAAAACCCATTGTGAAACAATGATCCGCTAGAGCATTCTTTAAATAACACCAAATCACAGACTACTTAAAGTGACCCGCATTTTTTGTTGGTTTCATTACGGTTAGATTGAAGCAGAAAGAGCAGGACGTTTTAAAGTAAACGATTTAAAACATGCAAGATCACGATCATTTAAAGGGCCATGTTTATCACCTGTGCTGGTGGTTTAATCTGAAATTACATTCAAATATCTAACACTTTAATTGCAAACAGATATTTGTGCATTAATTAAAGGAATAGTTCACCAAAAAAATTTTTGAAAATGAAAATGTTCAGGCCATCCAAGATGAAGATGAGTTTGTTTCTTTATGGGAACAGATTTGGATAAATGTAGCATTGCATCACTTGCTCACCAATGGATCCTCTTCAGTGAATAGGTGCCGTCAGAATGAGAGTCCAAACAGCTGATAAAAACCTCACAATAATCCACAAGCAAAGCAAACAACTCCAGTCCATCAATTAATGTCTTGTGAAGTGAAAAGTTGCATGTTTGTAACTCATCACTATAACTCATCATGTTTTAACTTCAAACAGTTGCTTCTGGCTAAAATATGAGTCCATAATATTGTTTAATATATAAGCAATATAAAATAATAATAACTTGACCCTCTAACATGTGCTGCGTTACACTACCCGGGACTTGTCACAGCACTTATATTGTTGCTCTTTTGTTGGTTTGAATGCTGTTCGCTTTGGATAAAAGCGTCTGCTAAATTATTAAATGTAAATGTAAAAGACCTTGATGGATTTGTTTCTTATAAACAATCCACTTTTCACTTCACAAGATGACAACTGCAGAGGATCCATTGGTGAGAAAGTGATGTGATGCTAAATTTCTCCAAATCGGTTCCCATGAAGAAACAAACTCATCTACATCTTGGATGGCCTGAAGGTGATACATTTTCAGCAAATGTTCATTTTGGGGTGAGATATTCCTTTAATACTTCTTATAGACTTCTATAATACAGGTGCATCTCAATAAATTAGAATGTCATGGAAAAGTTCATTTATTTCAGTAATTCAACTCAAATTGTGAAACTCGTGTATTACATAAATTCAATGCACACAGACTGAAGTAGTTTAAGTCTTTGGTTCTTTTAATTGTGATGATTTTGGCTCACATTTAACAAAAACCCACCAATTCACTATCTCAACAAATTAGAATACTTCATAAGACCAATAAAAACATTTTTAGTGAATTGTTGGCCTTCTGGAAAGTATGTTCATTTACTGTACATGTACTCAATACTTGGTAGGGGCTCCTTTTGCTTTAATTACTCCCTCAATTCGGCGTGGCATGGAGGTGATCAGTTTGTGGCACTGCTGAGGTGGTATGGAAGCCCAGGTTTCTTTGACAGTAGCCTTCAGCTCATCTGCATTTTTTGGTCTCTTGTTTCTCATTTTCCTCTTGACAATACTCCATAGATTCTCTATGGGGTTCAGGTCTGGTGAGTTTGCTGGCCAGTCAAGTACACCAACACCATGGTCATTTAACCAACTTCTGGTGCTTTTGGCAGTGTGGGCAGGTGCCAAATCCTGCTGAAAAATGAAATCAGCATCTTCAAAAAGCTGGTCAGCAGAAGGACGCATGAAGTGCTCCAAAATTTATTGGTAAACGGGTGCAGTGACGTTGGTTTTCAAAAAACACAATGGACCAACACCAGCAGATGCCATTGCACCCCAAATCATCACAGACTGTGGAAACTTAACACTGGACTTCAAGCAACTTGGGCTATGAGCTTCTCCACCCTTCCTCCAGACTCTAGGACCTTGGTTTCCAAATGAAATACAAAACTTGCTCTCATCTGAAAAGAGGACTTTGGACCACTGGACAACAGTCCAGTTCTTCTTCTCCTTAGCCCAGGTAAGATGCCTCTGACCTTGTCTGTGGTTCAGGAGTGGCTTAACAAGAGGAATACGACAACTGTAGCCATATTCCTTGACACGTCTGTGAGTGGTGGCTCTTGATGCCTTGACCCCAGCCTCAGTCCATTCCCTGTGAAGTTCACTCAAATTCTTGAATCGATTTTGCTTGACAATCCTCATAAGGCGGCGGTTCTCTCGGTTGATTGTGCATCTTTTTCTTCCACACTTTTTCCTTCCACTCAACTTTCAGTTAACATGCTTGGATACAGCACTCTGTGAACAGCCAGCTTCTTTGGCAATGAATGTTTGTGGCTTACCCTCCTTGTGAAGGGTGTCAATGATTGTTTTCTGGACAACTGTCAGATCAGCAATCTTCCCCATGATTGTGTAGCCTAGTGACCCAAACTGAGAGACCATTTTGACGGCTCAGGAAACCTTTGCAGGGGTTTTGAGTTGATTAGCTGATTGGCATGTCACCATATTCTAATTTTAGACTCACCATAATCTTTTTGTGAAACGTGAGCCAAAATCATCAGAATTAAAAGAACCAAAGACTTAAACTACTTCAGTCTGTGTGCATTGAATTTATGTAATACACGAGTTTCACAATTTGAGTTGAATTACTGAAATAAATGAACTTTTCCACGACATTCTAATTTATTGAGATGCACCTGTATGCTTAAACCTTGTATGATTCTTGTTTTCTAATACTATTTTTCCTTTTTTATGTGCATAATTGCCCCCTCTCCTGACATAATATGATAAATTAACTCCAATCCCAGAAATGTCATAATAATCCTACATGGGTGGAGTGTTGATTTTACTTTTGACATGTTTGAGTCATTCTGAGTTTTCATAAGGAGTGCTATACTGGGACTTACTGTTCATCCAGTGTTGGTTTGTTTTGAAAGAAGGATATGATGATTATATCTTCTTCTGTCTCAAGTTTTAATGAACAACAAGCTTGAACTATTTCATAATAATGATGCAGATTTGTGACTGTACAGTACATTTTGCCTCTCAATGTTGCACTTGTTATTGAAGAGTTACTTGCCACAAAAGTCCAAGACAACAAATTACATCATGAGTTTGTGAGTGGCTGGCTTTTTAATCCACAACTAATTGTTGATTTTACACAACTGAATGTTGCTTAATACACCACGCAGTAGTTTTGGTAGTTGGTAGCTTAATACACCAAGCTTTTCCAGACTCATACGCACCTCCATGTTTTCTTGCAGTGGTTCTTATTGGAGAATCTGGCGTTGGCAAGAGCAACTTGCTGTCACGGTTCACCAAGAATGAGTTTAATCATGACAGCCGGACGACCATCGGAGTGGAGTTCAGCACAAGAACTGTGCAGCTAAACGGTCTCACCATCAAAGCTCAGATCTGGGACACTGCCGGACTGGAGCGGTACCGGGCCATCACTTCTGCGTGAGTTTAACATGGTATAATAAATGGTGGTGCTAAACAAGTAAACATGCCCATAGTTCCCCAAAAATGACAATTATGTAAATTACTCAGTATCATGTTGTTGTTGTTTTCTTCTTCTTCTGTGGAACATAAAACACTTTTTCATAAAAGGGAATGGTGACCATAGCTGTGAGCTCAAATAAAAATAAATTCATTTGATTTATTTTACTGTAGTTAATTATTTGTATTTCTTACTTACATTATACACTACTGTTGGGGTAGGTGTGATTTTCTTAATGTTTTTGAAAAAAGTCTATTCTGCTCATTCTTCTGCTGCATTTATTTAATTAAAAATACAGTAAAAGAAATCACAGTGATACTGTGAAATATTATTGCAAACGAAACAGTTTTCCATTTGAATATATTTTAAAATGTAATTTATTTCTGTAATACATTTTAATATGTAATTTATTTATATTTTCAGCATCATTACTCCAGTCTTCAGTGTCACATGATCCTTCAGAAATCATTCTGATATGCTGATTTGCTTCTCAAGAAACATTTCTTCTTATTATCTTATCTTTATTCTTATATTTTTTACTGAATAGAATGTTCAAAAAATACAACATTTAGAAATGCTTTGTAACAATGTGTAAGTCTTTACAATCACTTTTGATCAATTTAATGCAAAAATATGAATTTATTTTGAAAACTAAAAAAGCAGTCCGGTGATGTGCTGATGACATTTATTTTAATTGAACTAAATTTGACATAATAATAGAATTTCAGGTGAACTGTCCCTTTAAGTAGTTCTCTCATACTCTGAATATGTTTGTATGCAAATACATTATTAACTGCATGTAAATTGTCATTCATCTATTCTTTAGCAAATTTAGAAAAATGTAACACATCATGTTTCACCACCCATTGCTATACAATTAGTTTCTCACCTGTTGTTTTTCTAAACCGTCTTCATTATGTGATCTTGCTTATGACCATGTTTTATGACAGTGTTCTGCTCACTCAAAAAAGGAAGTTAATCCAGTCATCTGATCTGATCTGATCTGTTTTCCTATATCTCAGATATTATCGAGGAGCGGTTGGAGCTCTACTAGTCTATGACATTTCAAAGCACTTGACGTATGAAAGTGTCGAGCGCTGGCTGAAGGAGCTCTACGATCACGCAGATCCTCATATCATAGTGATGCTTGTGGGCAACAAAACGGACCTGTCAGCAGTACGATCTGTTCCAACAGCGGACGCAAAGGACTTTGCAGGTCATTACTGAAGACACCTTATTATATTATACCAGTTTACACAAAATTCACACAGAAACTCAAAGGTCTTCACGACATCCCTTCGAAATGAAAGTTCCACCTAACTTGAAGAAATTACAACAAATATAATAATAATACAATTTATTAAAAAACACAGAAACTCAGCTTTTCTCTACAACCTGCCAAAATAAATGTTCTTTCTAACTTGGAGAAATTATGAAATCATGTATATTACTATTGCACAGTAGAATGTACTTCTTAAAGTAATAATAATAATAATTATTATTATTATAACATTTATTAAACATTTTTAAGGAATATTAAAATACTTCCTCCATGTTTTAATTAAAAATAAAAGAAATTATTGCATTTTTGTTTGACTACATTTTAAAAGATTACCTAAATTGATAGTTTTATAAATTGATTACCACCATTTTTTATAGTAAATTTATGTTTTTTATATTCTATGCACTCCTGACTGTAAAATAAGCCACTATACACCCATATACAGGGCCAGTAATAAAAAAAAAAGAAAACTTCACTCTAAAGAAAACCAGTAAAAATGTACTGTAAATCAGGCGCAATGTACTGAATAATATGAAGGAACTTTGAAGGTGTTTACCTGTATTTTGAATTTTGCACTGCATTGCATTGTGTTTTAGAGTTAACGGAAATGTAAATGAATGTAGTTTACATTTCTAGTCTATTATCCAGTCTAACCTATTTTTTTTAATTCAGTGGAACCCCCGCTGTAAGAAAATAAAATCTGTATAAAATGGATAATGTCCTAAAATCACCAGTTCATTTTCTGTTAAAATTTACAGACATTTCATTAAACCCTCAAATCATAATTCAAATGATGGGTTAAACAAAAAAATAATTAGTACAGAAAGTTCCTTCATAGTACATTGGGTTGTATTTTTACGGACTTCTCTTAGAGAGTATATGTTATATATCATTTAACACAATACTGACTTTGTCAACCAAAATCAATCTTGATATTCATCATTCTTTTTTATAGAAAATAATGATCTTCTGTTCATGGAAACCTCTGCTTTGGAGTCAGTAAACGTCGAGGCAGCGTTCAACACTGTGCTTACAGGTAGCTACTGTTTATTCTGAACACATCACACCATATTTACATGTACTTTACATGTGTTTCCTGCCCTCTGGGTTTCTCCTCTTCAGTCGGGCTTGAAATAGTGTAAGCACTTGGCTTCATTATCATAATCATGCTGTCGTTGTTTGATCGCTTTCTTTCAGAAATCCATAAAAAGGTGAGCAGCAAAGAAGTGACCCGAGGCTCTATCAATGCGGTGACATTATCCCAGCCTAAAGCTCCAGCAGAAGACGCACAGGAGGAAAAGCAGGCCTGCTGTAAGAACCTGTGAAAGAACATATCGAATAGAAGGACCTTATGAGGGTCCTAATGGAGTTATCATTGAGAAAGAACGAGTATGATAAAAAACGAAAGGAAATCCATTTCATTGACTGACAGCCACTTCTGTTCATGGAAACCTCTGCTTTGGAGTCAGTAAACGTCGAGGCAGCGTTCAACACTGTGCTTACAGGTAGCTACTGTTTATTCTGAACACATCACACCATATTTACATGTACTTTACATGTGTTTCCTGCCCTCTGGGTTTCTCCTCTTCAGTCGGGCTTGAAATAGTGTAAGCACTTGGCTTCATTATCATAATCATGCTGTCGTTGTTTGATCGCTTTCTTTCAGAAATCCATAAAAAGGTGAGCAGCAAAGAAGTGACCCGAGGCTCTATCAATGCGGTGACATTATCCCAGCCTAAAGCTCCAGCAGAAGACGCACAGGAGGAAAAGCAGGCCTGCTGTAAGAACCTGTGAAAGAACATATCGAATAGAAGGACCTTATGAGGGTCCTAATGGAGTTGTGAATTCAGCTTGTACAGTAGAGTTATCATTGAGAAAGAGTATGATAAAAAACGAAAGGAAATCCATTTCATTGACTGACAGCCGTATTTGTATTGTTAAATATTATGTAAGGCATTTTAATGTTTGTCAGGTTTGACAAGGATTAATGTCAATTTTAATGAATTTAAATGTTAAATGTTCCCTCTCAGTAAGAGATTTTTGTTTGTATTATTTATGAAATGTCATGCCAAACCTTTCTTTCTTTCTTTTTTGAATATACTTGCATATATTCACTTAACATCATTTTTTATCCAAAGAGACTTACAAATGAGGAATACGACAAGCTTTTCATCTTACTCAAGTTATTAAGATCAATAGATGCTGGACAAATAACCTTATCACTTTAATTAGCGTAAGATTGAGGAAAGAACATATTTTTTGATTTACTTGTTCATCCAGACTGTTTAGTTTTTAATTTGATTTATTCAACTCGCCTAATGAAGATAATTGAAAACACACACACACGTGGTAAAGATTTTTTTATTATTATTTAAGACTAATCAGCACGAATTTCATATGTTGTGCTATTAAAATCTACATAAAAACGATTTATAAGCAAAGTGTTGATTTGTATCTTTATAAACGAATGCTGATGCTGCAGGTATTAGGGTAGAGGGAGGAAATGCCCCCCTACTCTTTTTCCCAAAATAACCATAAATCAAGATACATTTTTGTTGTAAATATGGGCTACATTGACAAGAGTGATGTATAAATATTCAGCATGAAGCTTACACTGGTGATCATGAACTTGAGAGAAAACGGATTTCACAAGTGTTTTAAAGCTTGTTGTTTTGTAGAACATCACAGTTATATATGATATGAGAATAGTAAGGCCTGTAGATAGGGAGTATGTCTTATTTAACAAAACTATAATTATATTTTCAGATTGACAAAAACATTTTTCAAACCTAATCTGTGGGCATTGCTGAATTACTGTTAGTTACTCTGTCCTGAACATCAAATCCTTTGTTTCCCCATCAAATGTTTTCTAACTAGTTGGTTGGATTAAATGATATGGACTTTATATTTAAAAATGATCTCAAGTTAGCATCAGGTAGCTAACCAGTTAGCATTAGCTAACAATATTTGTAGGCTATTATAATTTTGTAATTCATAATTATTTGATTATATTATTTTGAAAGAATAATGCATGTACTCTGATTTAGCTGTAAATGTGTAAACCAAATTGCTTTGTCAGACTGGGGGGATTTTAAACCCCCTCTCCCCCAAACTGTGGGGCAAAACACCCCCCTTGGGACAAAATACATTTTTGTAAAAAATCGAATAACATGAAAAATCCGGACATTTTTCATACTTGGTTTATAATTTATGCCATTGTCACTAAAATGATGAGAACTCTTCTGGACACATTTAACTTTTGTTTCACAGAGAAAAATTACACTGCATCTACTACCCTATCAGTTGCTGCTGTTAACACAATAAAGAAATATACAGAGCATGTCATTTTCCAATAAGAATTAAAGCAGAACTATGTGTGAAAAATATCTGAATTGGGTTTTTTTTCACAGTGAGTCTCAAGTGCAGTTTGCAAACAACACCAACAAAAAAGGGAAATAAATCTGATTACTCACAAAAGTTTGAAAATGCACACTGAATATTTATGAATCATCATCATTCAATAAATATGACTTGGAATATTAATAGATTTGACCAGTTTGAATTGGAACTGGCAATCATAAATGTTGGAATAATTATGATTATTTATATTAATTGTGAAATACACCACTATATATATATATATCAATTCTTAACTGGAACTTTATAAGAAGTCTCTTATGTTCACCAAGGCTGCATTTATTTAATTAAAAATACTGTAAAAATAGTAATATTGTGAAATATTATTACAATTCAAAAGAACTGCTTTCTATTTAGAAAATATAATTTATGATGGCAAAGCTGAATTTTCAGCATTCATTACTCCAGTTTTCAGTTTATATATATATATCGTTTTTGTTTTTGAAAGAATATATAAATTACATTTCTACTGAAGTGGCATTTCATTTTCAAACACTGATGACTGACTAATAATCTCATGTGTGTAATTCTGAATGGTGCACAGCCCTGCCTCATTGCCTCCTACGTGGCATTGTCAGGTCCCTCCCATCATCTTCTGTGAAGCAGAGTGAAGCCACGCTGTTGAATGTGGAAGAGCACACCTCAAATATACCCGTGGCCCCTGCTTTTTTTTTTTAAGCTATTTTTCTAATGTACTGATAGGCTACCTCGTGTTTTATTATACATTATAGTTTTATTCAAAGGCGTATATTGATTATATTTTAGTATCATTATACTCTGTGTTTATATTGCCTGACGACAACTATAAAAGACACACCTGTGACCTTACACACCTGTACGGAAGCCCCATCAAACATTTCATTGGGTCACAGAGGCACACTCGTGTGATAGACAGGTTAGTTGGCCAATAAGATCATCGGAAAGGCGGGGCTACATCGCAGCACAATGACGTAAGTGTTTGCCTTGAGATGAGACAGCAGGGCGAAACTTAGTTGAGGTAGCTCGGCAACATCGTGTCAAAGTTGATTAGCTGCAATGTTTAGCGTATTCGGAACCTGTTTTTCTTAACGGCTACTTTATGTACGCTATACCCGTCGACAGAAGGAAATACTTTTTTGGATTCTGAGAGTCTTTAACGCATGAAACGCACGTAGTAATGAAGCGCAAGTGATCAACTGATGCGTCTCATAAACAAAGTTTCCTTGAAGAGCGCCTTGTGGTTCTCCAGAAGAGCATAACGTCTGTATATCTGAAAACACGGACTTGTTATTAAGCCGTTAAGAAGATTATAGCCATGACGGGTAGAGAGGACGAGTATGACTATCTCTTTAAAGGTGAGCGCCACGTTTATGTTTATGTACTTCAAGAGCAGCTGACTTTCAGAAGAGCTCCTGCATGTCGTCTTCATGTGTTGCTTTGTCTCCCTTGTCATAGGATGTCTTCTTTTTCTATCCTAAAACACAGATTAGCATATCCAAGCTGTGATTTGCAACTGTTTCAAGCAGGCCCAAGTTTTTCAGTCGCTGCTAGACCACCTTGGACCAGCAAAAAACCAGCTGGTCACACTGGCTTTGGCTGGACAAGCTGGTTTTTAGGACATGGTGGGAGGCACACCAGCTGCCTTGTCATAGGATGTCTTCTTTTTCTATCCTAAAACACAGATTAGCATATCCAAGCTGTGATTTGCAACTGTTTCAAGCAGGCCCAAGTTTTTCAGTCGCTGCTAGACCACCTTGGACCAGCAAAAAACCAGCTGGTCACACTGGCTTTGGCTGGACAAGCTGGTTTTTAGGACATGGTGGCAGGCAAACCAGCTTATGATCATCTTAAGTGTCATGTTCCAAAACACAACTACCTTCTTACTATGGATTTCCCAACAGGGCAAATGCATACATTTAAATAATTTCTAAGTGCCATTTTTTGCTTGATTTTATAACACACAACATCATTGGCTTCTCCTAATATGTCTTGCGTTGTAATTCTCATGTAGCTTTAATTGTCACCCCCTATTTTTGAACATATAGGCTTGAAAGTGCACCATCTAAACTTAATAGTGTCAGCAATATAAGCACAGTTAAACCGGTTATACCTGTATAAACCAGGTCCTTCTCAGGATGGGTTTGCATTCAGGAGGTTTTAAAAACTCTCCTTTATTCTAATGAATCAAATCTCTTTTGCTTCAGAAGATCACTCGGATCATTCATTTGTCCTATTTTTGATATGTAACCAATTATTCAAGATTGAAGGAGATCAAATGTAAACGTTTGAGAATTTCCCTTAGTAATCGACTGCTGAAGTGAATGCTAATGGTATTATTTTGACTAATCTGATGTCTGCGGTGGTTATGTCCATGAATTTGACACTTTCATTAGTCAAAGTTCTGCCTTTGACCTCCGTGTGTGTCTAAGCCAGGGGTGCCCAAACTCGGTCCTGGAGGGCCGGCGTCCTGCAGAGTTTAGCTCCAACCCCAGTTAGACACGCCTGAACCAGCTAATCAAGATCTTACTAGGCATACTAGAAACTTCCCAGCAGGTGTGTTAAGGCAAGTTGGAGCTAAACTCTGCAGGACACCAGCCCTCCAGGACCGAGTTTGGGCACCTCTGGTCTAAGCTGTCCGTGCACCTTTTGCTGTTTGACCATGAATCAATCAGTGCTGTTAAATCACCGCTCTGCTCTTTAAACAGGTCTGTCCACTAGCTTTAAACCAAGCAGTAGTCTCTAGTGCATTCCTGTGTGCCTAACTCAGATATTATTATTAGCTGAGACATCTGTTATGGATTTTGTTCTTGATTCATGTTGACGAGTTGGCAACATTAACCCAAGTTATTTCAGGTTTACATTGAATACAATTTTTAAATTGTCATTATTTAATCACCTTCATTTTAAGTTCCAAGTCTTCTTCTGAAGTCTCACAACATCTCTGTGTGATGAATAGACTGGAATTTATGTCATTTACTAATAATCTTTCCCTCAACAAAAGCTTTGAAATCATATTCACTTTCACAAATCTAAATATATCAGATTTGATGTCCTTGAAGCATCTTTTATTATTTTACATGTAAGTGTTCCTCTTATCTCTTACAGTATGCCCACCTAGGCTGCACTGATTTCATAAAAAAAAAAGATTAAAAACAATTCACACACTATTTTGTGAGATTTTTATGTTTTAAGTCTCTGCTGCTCACCAAGACTGCATTTATTTGATCAAAAATACAGTAAAGACAGTAATTAAATATTACAATTTTAAAATAACTTTTTCTTTTTGAATATGATATTTTAAAATATAATTTATTCATGTGATGCAAAGCTGAATTTTCAGCAGCCATTACACCAGTCTTTAATATGACACGATCCTTTAGAAATCATTATGATATCCTGATTTGCTCCTCAAGAAACATTTATTATTAGCAATATTGAAAAGTTTTGCTGCTTAATATAAATTTTTTTTTGTGGAAACTGACTCATTTTTTCTTTTTTTTAAAAGTAGAAAGTTCAAAATAACAGCATTTATTTGAAATAGAACTCTTTTGTAACATTATAAATGTCTCTAACTGTCACTTTTGATCAATTTCATGAATCCTTGCTGAATAAAAATATTAATTTCTTTCAAAAAATCTTACCGGCCCTAAACTACTAAACTTAACTGTAAATATAATTTCTCAGTAATATCTGTTCCATTTTTGCCATTGTCAGCAGGAGACACAGAACGTTCCCAGTATTTCGTAAGTCCTACCTGTGTGGGTGAAAAAGGGAGTTGCTCTTCAGTCGTGCCCTTTTCATTCATTGTTAAAAGCTTTGTTCTTATCTCTTACAGTATGCCCACCTAGGCTGCACTGATTTCATAAAAAAAAAAGATTAAAAACAATTCACACACTATTTTGTGAGATTTTTATGTTTTAAGTCTCTGCTGCTCACCAAGACTGCATTTATTTGATCAAAAATACAGTAAAGACAGTAATTAAATATTACAATTTTAAAATAACTTTTTCTTTTTGAATATGATATTTTAAAATATAATTTATTCATGTGATGCAAAGCTGAATTTTCAGCAGCCATTACACCAGTCTTTAATATGACACGATCCTTTAGAAATCATTATGATATCCTGATTTGCTCCTCAAGAAACATTTATTATTAGCAATATTGAAAAGTTTTGCTGCTTAATATAAATTTTTTTTTGTGGAAACTGACTCATTTTTTCTTTTTTTTAAAAGTAGAAAGTTCAAAATAACAGCATTTATTTGAAATAGAACTCTTTTGTAACATTATAAATGTCTCTAACTGTCACTTTTGATCAATTTCATGAATCCTTGCTGAATAAAAATATTAATTTCTTTCAAAAAATCTTACCGGCCCTAAACTACTAAACTTAACTGTAAATATAATTTCTCAGTAATATCTGTTCCATTTTTGCCATTGTCAGCAGGAGACACAGAACGTTCCCAGTATTTCGTAAGTCCTACCTGTGTGGGTGAAAAAGGGAGTTGCTCTTCAGTCGTGCCCTTTTCATTCATTGTTAAAAGCTTTGTGGAAACACACCCTTTGTGTGTGAAGTATTCAAATCTAATTGCTGTTGTGCGGCGGAGGGAGGCCGGTTCCTGCAAGCGCACAAATTGAATCTGCTTGAAAGAGCTCTTACAGTGTCATGTGTGTCTCCAGGGACAATAGCAAACACAATAGCGTTTAAAAGCACCATAAAAATCTGTTGATCTCACGCACCCGTGTCCTCTTCATTCACAGTGGTTCTGATCGGCGACTCGGGTGTGGGCAAGAGTAACCTGCTCTCTCGCTTCACCCGCAATGAGTTTAACCTGGAGAGCAAGAGCACCATCGGGGTGGAGTTTGCCACACGCAGCATCCATGTGGAGGGCAAGACCGTCAAGGCCCAGATCTGGGATACGGCTGGACAGGAGAGATACAGGGCCATCACATCAGCGTAAGTGTCTTCATAGAGTCTTAACAAGACATCAACTAATTTTAAAATGTCTTTTGTTTTGTGCACAATTAAAATATATATATATATAATTTTTAAATAAAATGTAATAGTTAATAAAATCAATATATAATAAAAAAGTGTGTGCATAATTATTCGGCAAGTCAATATTCTGATCATATGGTTTAACAATTAGTTTTTTGTTAATTTTGTACATAGTCATTTATAAGTGATTTATAGTTGTTAACAGTGTTGGGGAAAGTTACTTTTAAAAGTAATGCATTACAATATTGCGTTACTCCATAAAAAAGTAACTAATTACGTTACTTAGTTACTTTTTATGGAAAGTAATGCGTTACGTTACTTTTAAAATCTGGGCAGGGCTTGCTTGTTTGTTTTTAAAAGAAACATTTTTGGCAAATATAAAAGCCTTTCACACCAAAAGTGAAATGAATAAGCCTCAGGCTGAAGGGAAAGTACATTTACGTCCGTACAGTAGAATGCAGAAGAAGAAATTTCAACACACTTCAGCAATTAAAAAACACACGAATGTTTGTCTAGAGTCATTTGTGCTTATTAGTACGGTTGAACTGGATCATCGAAGGTCAGAAGCAAAGACATTGGTTAATAGAATGGGATTAAATACATAAAGGATATTTGTGTTGTTTAACATTTAATTATTGCAGGTTTGCGTCATATTCTGAGTTGCATTATTTTTATTCATTTTGAGGAATACTGAATCTGTGTTTTTTTTTTTGTGTGTGTGAGTGAGATGAATTAATGCATATTCATATCTATTTTAGAACTACAGTAACATCTTCTGATTTCTGTCAACATGGGGACAGGAGAGCTGCCAGTCAATAAATTGGAAAAAAAGTAACTTGCGTTACTTATTTAATAAAGTAACTCAGATATTCTCTTGTAAATTAAAAAGTAATGCGTTACTTTACTAGTTACTTGAAAAAAGTAATCTGATTACGTAACTCACGTTACTTGTAATGCGTTACCCACAACACTGGTTGTTAACAATGGCTGGAAGTAAAAAAAAAAAAAAAAAAAGGCTAATATTCAGATATGCATAATTATTAAAGGAATAGTTCACCAAAAATGGAAAATTCCATCATTAATTACTTTCCCTCATGTCGTTCCAAACCCGTAAGACCTTCATTCATCTTCAGAACACAAATTAAGATTTTTAATGAAAGAGCTTTCTGACCCTGCATAGACAACAATGTGACTGACACATTCAAGGCCCAGAAAGGGAGTAAGGAAATCGATAAAATAGTCCATGTGACCTCAGTGGTTCAACCGTAATGTTATGAATACTTTTTGTGTGCAAAAAGGTACAATCGTTTACAGGTACAATTATTAAGATTGATGTGGTTTGGAATTGGTAAAATGTGCTTGGGGAAAAAAGTATAAATAGAATAATTAATTAATTCTCGTATTAAACTAAATGATTTAATTTCTAGGCCTGTTGGTTAAAAATATAGATATATTAGGCATATAAAAAATTCACTCTTGTCAAGATTTGATAGACAATAATTGATCTTACAATACAATACTCTCACAATACCTTAAACAAAGCCAAATTAGAGTTAAAATAGTGCGTTTTTTTAATTATTTCTTCTGAGACGTATGATGACCAGTTAACATAAAGTACTGTTCATTAACCAGAATAGAAATATTCTTAATTCTGCTTGGCTAAAAATACAGAATTATGTTAGATGACCATGCTTGCACTCTGTCCCTGACTAGATATGTGTAAAAAGTTTTAAATAGTGTATTTTATAAATAATAATTGATAAACATGGAAGCTCAGATGTGTGAGGTAACTAGAAGAATAACAAAGTGCAGTACTTTTTAAAACCATATGCGTTCATGATTATGATAATAAATTAAAATAATATAGATTGTTTTTGCATAGTTAAAATAACTGGAAGCAACTGCCACCTGAAACAATGCACATTCAAGGGTAAAAATTGCCTAGCCCGCTCTTATATTAAAAATGTAAGGTGGATAATTGTGCCAGATTTCTAATCATTTATGCTTGCCTTTTTAAAGTAAAGTATAGTACAATGGGAGTACGTAGACTCGCATGAAGTAGGAAGCATTTGAATAATAAGAAAACAACACTGTTTGGCCTCTAATGATGTACCCTCAGATAAGATGAAGACTTTAATAACAGCTGTTTTATTTCACACACCGTAACTGTGATCATATGACCAGCCAAATATTCCTTGGTAATCACACTATTATTGGGCACCTTAGATTGTGGAAGAAATGTGTTATTTGTTGCTGAATAATGAATGCATCTTTCAAATGTCTGTGTGTGTGTGTGTTCACAGATATTACAGAGGTGCTGTAGGAGCCCTGCTGGTCTATGACATTGCCAAGCACCTGACCTATGAGAACGCCGAGCGCTGGCTGAAAGAGCTGCAGAATCATGCTGACAGCAATATTGTCATCATGTTAGTAGGGAACAAAAGTGACTTGCGCCATCTGAGGGCCGTTCCTATGGATGAATCCAAAGCATTTGCAGGTTAGTGTTGTGAGGACTTTATTAGCTAGTTTAATTACTCAAGAGTTGACGTTTTTATTTCTGGCAAATCAAAGTTATAAAATGATATCTGAAAACGCTAGATTTATATAAAGGAGTCAGAACATAGTAATGAATTGTATTTAACTAAATATTTCACTGTAAATATAAGACCTAATATGCCACTTTTGTTAACTAAATAATTGTTAAACACCCTTGGTAAAAACCAAAAAGGTCACTTGGAATGCCTTTAAAGGTCACAGAGGTGCTGATAGTGTTCAAGGCTTATTGGCTGAGGAAATAAAATGATTGTATGTTAATTTCTCTGGGCTCTGAGAAGTTGAACACTACTTCAATATAACCTTTAAAGCAGTACTGTTAATAAAATGATGTTCTATTGTGTAAACTATTTTTAGGCAATGTTGATTTAGCATTACTCATTTATGTGTAATGCATTCCATTAGCAATATAGTCACAATGCTCTCCGCATACTTTGCTATCTTCATTGTTTTATTAGTAATATAGGGTGGTAATTGGCAAATGTAGCTTCATACCATGATGCTGTTATAATTACTTTGCATTTAGGGATGTTCATTTCGGTTATTTTCCCAACCGACAACCGACGCTCGTTAACCGATTAACCGACAAGATTATTTTAAATTAGAATTGAATTAAATTAGAAAGGATAAGTGTCTGTGACCCGTTAAAAAATACTACCATTTGTTTCCCGGGGATTAATTTTACATGCGGAAAAAGCAGCAAACAACAAACATGAGGATTTTCATTATCATATCATATATCACGCATCTGGAGCGCTTCTGCCTGCGGAGAAAAACATAATAAAGCTAGGCTATATATATGTATGTATGTATGTATATATATAATAGGCCTATACGAGAAACACATTTTTTTACTTAAATAATAAATTAAGAAAATGAAAGAAACTGTGCAACAAGTATCCTAGTATGCAGAGTTTCGGTTCATTTTTGTGCTGTGCGAAAGGAAACAGACAACAGAAAGCGGCATCCTATTTTTCTTTAGGCTTATTTTACAAAAGCACAAAGATTTGTTTTTATTGTGAATGTACACAATTAAAGGCAAACCTTTTACAATTCCGACTATCTTTAGGACTAAAAGGAGTAGTTTCTTCCACTGTTAGAAGGAAAAAATGGAAGTGATTGCGCGCACAGTTAAGCTTTGCTACCTTGACAATGCAGCCTGTTCATTATCATAATAAAATAAAAAATACAGTCAGTCAAACATATGGGGAAAAAATCTATGTAGTAAAACATGTAGTAAAATCTGTGCCGTTAAGTGTTATCACCGCACCGCCGTGATTTTATGCAAAACATTATTTTATGTGGATATTGGAACGCAAGTGAAGCCTAGGTTACATAATAAATAATAATTTGCCATTCAAATACATTGCAAATACGAAAACATTTGATTTTGTGTGGAATGAGAGACCCAACTTTGGTTTCAGTTTCGTTTTAGCCTAAATTAAGTTGTTTTGGCTTGTCTAAATTGCTATAGCTTCTTATATTTGTAATTCTTGTTCTTTTCTAAATACTGTTAATTGAAAGGATTTGTTGTGGAGTGAGGGGAACTAAAATAGCCTAGCTATGTTTACAGTGTTTATTATAATGTTTGTAAACGGTTCGCCTCGGCATTAAGCCCATTTCTGAATGAAACAATAAAATGCAACTTACACGCGACTTATGTTTTTTTTTTTTTTTCCCTAAAAAACACTTTCTTTTTTTCCGCGTAGTGTATTTTAACCATGCAGCGAACCTTTTTAAATATTTTGATAAATTACTGAAAAAAATTTATAATTAAATGACTTTTTAAACCATTTAACTGATTGTATTAATCGGTCAGAATTCTTACGGTCAGTTAACCGGTTAAAATGAACGTCCCTAATTTATACATTTGGCAAATACTTTAATCCTAAGTCAACTACAGTGTATTCAAGATATAGCTTGTTTAAGTTTTGATACACCATGACTTTGGTGTTTCTGGTGCTGCGTTTTGTGATACCTGCTGTTAACCTTTTTCTCCGTTATCTTGAGTACTGAATGCAGTAATGATTTTTGTTTATATCGCATGCTACTTGTTTATCTCAGAAATGGAGTTTGCTAGCTGGTCTATGTTCTATCTAAATATTTATGCCTTTTTTGTTTATGATAATGTATTTGGGAAGCTAGATATATTTAAAACGTCTTTTATATTTTTCTGTGTTTAGAGATGTCCACATTGAATTGTGTGTGTGTGTGTGATTTACAGAGAAGCATGGACTTTCTTTCCTGGAGACCTCAGCGCTGGACTCTTCTAATGTTGAACTTGCCTTTCAGACCGTTCTTACAGGTCAGTCCTGAACAAATCATCTAGTAGGGTGAATATCACAAAGCTTTTGGAGGTGAATCTCATGAAAACTGTGAAGAACATGTACCAGTCATTTAAAAAAAAATTAAAAACATTCTTATTACTGTAATGAGAGTAGTAGTATTTAAATAGCAAAGTAGTTATGCATAATTTAATATATTGATTATATAAAAAAACATGGACATGAAAATACTCAAAAGGTAAACATCCAGATGCATTGCCATAATGAGATTCATTTTCAATGAGGGTCATTTTCAAATGTTGTACATTTTTAATTTTAGAGAGAAATGTGACCTGGTTGTTTTATTAACTGGATGTTTCTGACATTCAATTCTGCTCAACTGAATCATATTAAAATATGCAGAAAATGTACAATATGTACATCAGCAAAAAACACTTTCAGGCACGTGATTTGTTTCCCACCCCTAAAAAGTGGAAATGCACCATTTGTGGTATAATTGTCACTTCTGTGATGCTTTCCAAAAACAATTATTAAAAAATTATTATTGTTCTTGTTTGTTTGTTGTTAAATATTAATAATTTATGTATTACTAATTTCAGAAGGGACTTGTAAGGGTAAAAGAATGGAATATATTTCCCCCCCTTGAATTACTAATGAAAAAAAGAAGTAAAATTTAAGCAATAAGCAGAATAATAAAGAAATAATTCATTAAAAAAAAATCTAAATTATCATATAATTTACTCAAATCATGCAAATTGACAGATTTTTTTTCATGAGATATTCCTTTTAAATATTTGAAAAAAAAAACAGTTGTCATTGCTGTAATACAAAAATCACCCAGAAAGGTTTTTAATTTAGAAATAAAGCATAATAATTACAATTACTTTATAAATATCATTTATAGTTTAAATAATAGCATTGTTTTGTCACATTACAGTAATGAGAATTTGGGGTTTCGAGGATCTGCTTAATTGAAAATTATTAATAACCTAAAAAAACAAGGAATGATTTTCTCATTTATATTTTTATTTATTTAAAATTATACATCTATTTTACGAAATGTATTCTTAGATTCCAGGGTGCTTTTGTATGTTATTTAGTATTAACTCTAGATGGCGTCAAACTCCACACCACAGATATCCTCTGCTGTGAATGAATGAAACGGTGTTTTGAGGTCAAACTTTAAAAGTTTGCCACGCAGAAATAGTGATTTTCTTTTTTGCCGTTTTTCTTCTTTGTTTGGCCTGGGATATACCTCTCTTCAGCCACACTGTGTTACACTGTTCATTTCTATGTGTCATTATGAACCGTAGCTAAAGTTGTTGCACTGTAAATAACAAACATGAAAGATCACGTTTATCAGGCAACCCTACATCATGCTGAACTCTGAATTCCGACTCTCTCTCATACAGAAATCTACCGTATCGTGTCCCAGAGGCAGATGTCAGGGCGTGGCGATGACAGCTTCTCCCCCAGTGGTTCCAGAGTGGTTCCCATTACCGTGCAGCCCACACAGAATTCGGGCAAGCAGGGTGCTTGCTGTCAGAATAACTGAGCTGCCACAGCGCCACCATGGAATCTGGGGAAAATCGTCAACTTTGTTGGGCTGGGCTGCAAGGTTGACCATGACCGTTGTATTCCCTGTGCGTGGTGTGCTTAACGTATGTAACAGACTTGCTTAGTTATGCCCAGAATCAGTGAGTAATAATCTTCAAAATTGGAGAACAAGAGATATTGAAATTGAATGGATCAAAGATTTTCTCAGAAATGAGAGGCCATGCTTCTTGTTTCAGACTTATTAGAAATGAGCAGTTAGCTGGGGCGCTCAGACGTGGCTGCTCTTTTTATTTTATTCCTGCACTTTTTGCCACAGAGTTTGCTTACAAACAACGGGCTGGAAGAGTGAGAAAAAGTGCTTAGAATGTGTAATGCTACTTTTAAGTAACTCTTGAATGGTTTCTGATCACAATGGGGATTCACTTGTGAAATTGTATATTCTTTTTCCTTTAGTGTGCCAGCGCAGAAGTAGTCTGACATCTTTTCCATGCATCTCAACACCTGAGAAATTCACACTGTAGTCATCATAGTTCGCTCAATTCTTACACTGTAACGGCCCTCTTGTATTTATTGAATGCAAATATGATCTTGTTGTTCTGTGGTGTTTTTGCTTTTTTTTTTGTCATGCTTTTATCCGTCACTAGATTATTGATCAGAATTTCTCAAGGGTTTCTCCTTCCAGTCATGGCACTCATTTGCACAAGCGCTGGGAGTGTTTTCTGTGGATCAGAGTAATGTTAATGGGTTAAGTTAATGGCTGTATGTGCTGTAATGTTTAATAAGAGTACAGTATGTTCAGATTTAGGGTTGGGAATCGTTGACAAGTTCTTAAATTGTTTGATTATTTTTATGACACTTGATTTGGTTATCGTTTCTTGAACTTATGCATTCTAAATCTATGCTATTTTATGCATAATAAAATATACAATATAGAGCCGCTTTAAAGTTTTTGTTGTCATGATGACCAGTATGCATCTTATTTATTCCCGGCTGTGCATTAACATCAGCAATGAACTTTCGGCATATTATTTTTGACATTTGAAAGTACGAAAACACACCATTTGTGGTATGCATGTCACTTGTGTGGTGCTTTTTCTCCCCATAGGATAATTTATATAAAAGATAATTTATTATTATATTCATTTATGATTTGTTTCCGTGTTCCAAATGTTCTTTAATTTTTACCTTAAATTACTACAAATGAATTAAGGTGCCAGAATTATAAAAAAAATAGTTCATCCAGTCATATTATCATATAATTTACTCAAATTAGGACACAGTTTATTATTTTGTGAGAACTATTTCTTTAAATCCCTATGATTCCCATCCCTACTCGGAGTACAGATGTTTGTTTTCCTGCTTTGACTTTATGATGTTGGAAATTAGCATGATTAGTTTTGCTTTAGCTGGTTTCTGGGTGTTGTTTTTGACTAATAGCTTTTTTCTGCTTGGAAAATGAGCGGCAGGTGGGATGCAGTTTTCTAATAGGAGCTTCTATGATTGGGTACATTGACCATATTATATTGCAAGGCAGGGGAACTGATGGCTTGTGATGTACTGCTGAGGTTTTCTTACTGGCAGTGAATTCCTCGCTGGCCACTCTTGTTATCTGCTACATGTAACCCGAAGAGCAGTAGTTCTCTTGAGATCTCACTCACTGTCCCGCCTTTTCTGTCTTCTACGGCTTTTGGTGTGGTTTTATCTTTGCATATGTGTGCGGTGGTGTCCAGATCCTCCGTGCCTCAGGACAGGACAGCCGGCTCGTGTTTTTGTCTTTATTTTTATAGTAGTTTTGTCATTTGTTTAAAGACACGAGGTGCTTCCCTAAATGCCTTGCATGTAAGATTTATGCTAATGGCATCAATCTGCTATGCTGAATATCAGCAGTTTAGCCGGAGTCGTTGATAATTACTGCTTTGGGAAGATTCTGTCATCGTGCCTGTTCTTTTCCCAGTGGGACTCCTGAACAAAGACTCTGAATACTGCAAATACGTTTATACATTTTCAGTTAACATGGATGTTTATCAGCTGTTGGGGTTTTTTAAAGCTTGGGTGAATAGATTTTACGTAGACTTTTGGAAACTTGTGTATTTTACAGGGTTCCCACATCTTTTGACCAGTGACTTCCACATGACCTTTCCAGTCGCTCTTGAATACCGGATAAGGGAATTTCATCGTATAGAGATTGCACCCACAAAGAGCAATTTCTAGTTGATGAAATATTTATGAGCTTTTTGAAATGTTATTAATTTCCATGACTTTTCCAGGTGATTTTAAAATTCCCTGATACTTCTGTGACCGTGGGAACCTGTGAACGCTTCTGTTTTTAAACTTTTTGGTGATTTTTATCCCTTTTTTTTTATTTGTGCAATTTACTGTGTATTTTATTGACATATATAAATAAAATCCGTTTTGTTTCAAATCATCAGGTGTGCGAGCAACAGAATTCAGGGTAGCAGTGACAGATTATTCAGTTTGTTTTATTAGAAACATTTACAATACAATTTCTCGAAAATAACCAAAAAATCAAAACTAGTATGGCATAGATACATTGATCAAATATCAAAAATGAAAGTCACAAAGAACATGTTCTAAGGAAAAAACCTGCAGTTTGCGTGCCCCGTGTAGACACGATACTGAATTATGAAATCAAAACGACTCGTGGATTATCGGCTAGCCTCGTCTATGATATGGCAAACCCCTCGTTTATCAACAATAAATTGAACACTAGTACCAGGAGATGCTTGACCAAACTAATGCACTAAGACCACTATGAGAGCTGTATGAAACACTTCTACTGTGCTGGAAGCTACCAAATACAGACTGTCGGACTGGAGTAACTCATCCCAAGCGAGGTCACGTCAGTGACCATCCTAAACCCCCCGCCCCACCCCATGTTCCTGTCTGACTGAAATTGAAACCACTACACAACTATCATTGCCACCACAGAGCCAAAACAAAGTCGAGATGCGTGTTCACCATGAAGTACTGAGTCTATGCTTCTCCGTGTAAACAATAGTTCACCGCTTTGACATGTTTGAGACACTCTCGGTAATAATGAAACATAGGAATCAACCCTTGAGAGTAGTTTGTACATAAGCCTCATTTGTATGTGACCAAACAGGTTGATAGACGTTACATGCAAATAACGGTATTACTGTGAATGTGCTCGAAATCTGTATTCTGTTCACATACCTGCAAACAAATATAACGGTACATTTGATTTGCGGAATAAGTGTTTTTTTTGTTTTGTTTTTTTTGTAAGTTTTGTCATGCATATTTTTAAACGATTGAAAATCGGAACGGCGTTACATGTAATTGATTTTTGCTTGTATTATTACTGTATGCGTGTACTATGCACAATCATTTTTCTGTTTCACCCTGTTATACTTCAGCCTGTTATCACTTCATAACAATTGCATTTAAAAACAAAGCAATTTAATATATAAAAAAAGAAGGGACCCTTTATTCACTCAGTTATGAGGTGTTAAAGGACGAGTACACAACACTTCTGAGCGCTTCTAATATGCAAAAACGCGGTATTGAGGCACAAAGTTGAAGTGACTAAAATACCCCCAAATGCTATAAAATATTTCTGCCGTTATCCCATTGTTAATGCACGCGTTACGTATCTGACGTCTTAAAATATAAGCCTTTGAAACCCCACCCCACTCGTTTTATGCTGTCAGAAGTGGGGATTTTTCTAACTTTCATAAATAAAAATTCTATAGTTTTAATCATTTTAGTAGAAATCAACTTCATGCGTTTTAGAAATATATTAACTTTTTAATTTATTAATTAAAAAACAAAACGTCTTGAAGTTACTTATAAATATGTTTGCTTCATTAAAGATATTCATAAATAACATCCAGATACTGACCTCTTCTTCTATGAAATAATAATGCATGTTAGCAAAATAGAATCTTACGAAACAGCTATAAGACATTTTAAGTTCCCTTTTAAGTTGCTTTGTATAAATGCTGTAAGGAAGAACCTAAGCGGATATGGTGGTATTTCTCTAGCCATGAAATTCAACTTAAAGCTCACTTTTGATAAAGAAACAAAAGGCAAAATTAGACATTGGTTGGGTGGCCATTTTTTACATTCAAATACATTATTTGCCCTTTGTACTATTCTGAAAGGCATTATAAGTGCATCACGTATATGTTCTCTGGTGATTCTATGGAATGGATGCTGCAGTCGTTATAGATAAATACATGCAGCTTCGCTATCTGTAAGAACATATAAGGGTATATGTTCACCTAAAACTTGAAAATATCAAGACTAAAAATGCAAATATATCCATTACGGGAATGCAAGGTACAGTTCAGCTTATAAGTTTGCAAACCCCTTGAAGAATTTTTAAACTGCATTTTATTTAATTTTTTAGTACATCCCTTATGCATTTGTTTGACACTACAGGCAAAACCTTGTTTTTCCCTGCGTTGGACATTTTTGAGATTTTGGGCTATTTGGCTTTTTGTAACGGGTAGTTTCAGACTAGTGGAAAGAAAACGTGCATATACACTTTTAAGTGGTTATTGCATTGCAGTTTATCCATTTGTGTCTGTAGATTTCAGTTACAATAGATATTTTATACAGTTTTACCCCCTAAAAACATGGTGAAAATGTATTGTTTTCTGATTTATGGATTGATAAAAGGAAAAAAAAAATTTAATCGGGCTTCATCCGGTCTTCAGATTTATGTTATGTGAATATATGCACATTTGTGTATATTTAATAGGATAATGCCTCATTTGCATATTTAAACATAACATTTCAGAACACTTGAAATACAAAAAATGTAATTCAATCAACTGGAGAAATATGATTTCTATTAGTTATTTTTTTTTTAAACCTATTCACCTGGAGTGTCTCGCCTTAATATTCCACAAGACAAAATTGTTCACATGCTCTTGTTTTTTATCATGTTTCTTCCTCGAGCATCAATGACTGTTTGTATCATGTGTAATAGTTTTGAGTCTCTGGTTTGTCCTGTGTGCTGAAGCGGCACCACTGTTCTTGATAAACATCATCCAAGTTCTTTGGTTTCCCAGCATGCTCTGCACATTTGAGTTCTTCCCCACAGCGGCTATACGATGTTGATCTCCAGCTCTGACACTCGGGACAATTGAGGGACTCATGCAGCTTTCACAAAAGGCAGCAAACAATCATTGATGCTCAAGAAGAAAACCGAGTGTTACAAACTATATGTATGCGAACTTCTTAACGGAATCAATTATTTGTGTAAATTATTTTGTATATGGCATCTTCAGGGCAGTACTAAAAATACAACTTTTTTTTTTTTTAATGCTAAGCACCTTCTAAACAGATTCTGCTTGGGGTTTGTAAACATGAGCACAACTGTATTGATCTGGTATTTGTGCATTATAGATACTTTACGTTGGGTAGGAGAAATATGTTTGGAAAAATAAACTGGTGTCATTGTACAGCATTTCATAAAACACCAGCTGTAGTCCTCACTAAAAATCTCTGTTGTACAAGTGGCTCTGTTATATTTTATCTACACAGGCTGTTCAAAGGTTAATAATGCTCTGTAAAATAATTTCCCAGCATGCACAACCAAAAAGGAAGCAAGAGAAGCTGTTGAACTGCAACTATTTAACAACACCACATAATTACTGGAAAAAAAAATAGAAAGAAGCAGAAACGGAAATGATTTTCACAGTGGTTCTTAATATTAAACTTCACGTTAGACAACACATTCTTGTTAAACCTGTTAGACCCTAAACAGGACCACTTTTCATTGTGAATCTGTAGTCGTAGGTTGTGACCACTCCCCCTTCTCGATCAGAATGGTATTTTTGCACGGGCAGTTATTATTTTGGATTAGGCATAATAATAGTGCCCTCGTCATTCTGAAATTATAACGGAACTTGCCAGTTTAAATGATTTGAATGCAGATGATTAAGACTGTTCTGATATGCATTTTAAATATATTTTTATTTCTTCTGAGCTGTTCTTACGTGCAGTAAATCCTGTCAGTAGGGTGTGTAGATATGTTTTGTATTTTCATAACCGTATGCACCAGTATAGACAAAGCAAATGCTGTACAAACTAATCTATATGAATTAATTTCCCTATTGATTGTAATAACCCTAATTTTTGGTTATGTATGTTCTGAAGAGCTTTCAGATTTTGGGGGCATCAATAACATCACACTTTAATTTTCTACTGGGATGACGCCTTACGCAATATTACAAACTAGCAAGTAGGCTATTAGAGACTATTACAATATTTTCAGAATTGCTTATATAGTGAAATAGATTTAATGATATGCTTGTGGTAGTCAGTCTTTATTATATATCTCCCTAAATGTCAATAAATAGAGTCTTATTCCTATCAAATAAATAATACTCAAAGTTTCGCTGTGATTGGCTGTATAAAGTCTTTAACAGTTAAAATGTCTCCCTTTCACAGCCTGCATTGAATAATATCTCGCTCGGAATACTTACACAGCATTGATTCAGGCTACATTCTTTGAAGTATATCATCACTCTATTAGAAGTTGTGACATTTGGTTAAGAAACAAAACATTTGAAGTGCTGCATTTTCTAATTGGGAAAGTCGTTACTGCTTTTGTTTTGTTCTCAAAAAGGGCTTTAATCAGGTAAATACGATGTGCATGGCTTTAAACAATTCTTAGGGTTACCAACCATTCAGAAGCATTTTTGTGACAGTGCATTTTTGGATTAGGATTCATTTATTTGATTAAGTATTAAGACAGTTATTGCTGTTTCCTGCATACGCTGACCTAGTGACCTTAAAAGAGGCAGGAGAACAAAATGTGGTATATAGACAGACGACTGTTGTTCTAAATCAGATTCTAAAATTCAAGCTATTATTAAGGTTTGCATAATTGATTCTATTTTTAAAAATGGTTTTGGTTTATATATATATATAAATGACCGAAATGCACAAACATACATTCCTTCAATGGACCAGCGTCTGTCCCTGATCAGTGCTGG